TCACACTTCAGGAAGTTCCTGACCTTTGTGTCCAACACTCCCCAGACCAGACTCCCTCTGCCTCCCTTGTCCACACCTTGCCCCTTCAATCCCATTAGAGCCCCACGGGCCATACTGGGGCCTCAAGGCAGTGCGTCCCTCGTGGGTGATGGCTGCCTTCTGCCCACAGTTGGGATGAAACAGCAGGCGCTCAGGTTCCGCTTGGGCAGCAGGAACAGTACGGCGGAGAGCACCCTCAGGAGACAGTGCCCGAAGAATGGCGTTGTTCCGGCGAAGACGGTCAGTATGGTTGTTATTGTGGACGATGGTCACCTTCACAGCCATCCCGTACAAATCCACCACACCATACACCACTGGGGGTGTCAATGGGGTAGCTACACCTGTGGGGGAGGAAAATGAGGGGTGAATAGTCAAAAAGGAAGGCAAGCACCAGAGAGGCCGGAGGATAAAGTCCAGATCCCACTGACAGACCCAGACCAGTGGCCTTCTCTGAGTGTCCCCTTACCTTGATCAATGCCATTAATGAAAAAGTGTAGGGCAGAGTTGGACTTCCTTGTGAGACCAATATGGTCACCCTCCTAGTGAGAGCAGAAAAGTAGTTTAGTATGGAATCTAGCTACAGTGAGGCTCCAGAGCAGTCCCAGTGCCTTTCCACTACCCCATTTGACACTCTCAAAAGTATTCATGCAAGTCTGAGACTAACCAAAAAGATGGATAGGGCATGTCCTGGGTCCTTGTTTTCTAGACATGACAATTTCCACATTTCCTGAATGCTCAATGTATGTGCTCACTTCAGCAGTACATACACTGAATGCTCAATGTAAGTTAGGCACTAGGTTAAACAATTTTACAAGCATCAACTTCCTCAAATCTATATAATTGCTACAGGGACTGGGGATATAATTTAGTGGTACAGTGCTTGTGTAGCATGTGTGAAGTCATAGGTTCCAACCCCAGCACTGGGGGAAAAACAATAAAAGTACTACTAACATTCATTTTAGAGCCTGTTGAGGAACTCTTGCCTTCTCAGAAAGAACCTCATGCAAGACAAAGGATCTTGTGTTAGATCAGAGAAGACCACTGCATGGCAACCAGACAGTACCCAGGGCTCCTCTGGAATTGCCCCAGCCTCACCTGTAGCTCATCCAGACTGAATTCGCAATACTCCCGGCGGGTGCCCTTGCCATTGGTCAGGATCCCACAACCGCTCATCATGATGGTGCCTGAGCAAAGGTAGACACACATGCTTAGGATATAGACTTCCTTCCCTTCAGCAACCCCAGGCTTGTGTCCCCACCCCTGCTCGGGACTGGTACCTGACTGGAGGTTGGTCATGGTGGCTGGGTACTCCAGGTTGTTGGGGTTGTGAGTAGTGACACCAATCTCGATGGAGCCTGACCACTTATCTACAAGCTTGTCAATACGGATCTGGGGTTGAATGACAGCAAGTAGATGGAACAGGGAATTTAACTGCAGAGAAGGGACCCTCAGCCCTTCTTCCCCAGGTCCCGCCCTCCTGATATCCATCAAACATTGAGCCCTATCTTTAGCTTCCAGAGGGTGAACCAGCCAGACTTCAGGGTCTTGCATACCTCAAACATCTCATTGTCCCGAAGTGGGCGGTTGGTCATGACAACCCCATTGTTGAATTCATCCAGAGGCCTCCGGCGCTCGGCTGTCTTATTATTGTTGCTGAGTTTGATAAGGGTCCCACACTTCTCATGAAAGAGCAGGGCATCATTGGAAGTGAGGATGGGCGAAGTGGCAGTACTGCTAGATCCCAGTCCATCCCCTGCTGGTGGGGAGCTCAGGTTCACATTCAAGAGGCCCCCATTGTAGGCAGACAGGATGGCATTGCTCACCACCTCCGAGAGCTCCATGCTAGCAAAATCTACAGCAGTAGGACAAAGAAAGGAAACTAAGATAAGGCTCTACATCTTTTGGATTGACACCTTCTCTTCCTACCCCTCTCCTGAGGTCTCTCCCTTTTCTACCTCTCTGCCTGCACCCCTTCCCAGAGCCTCCCCAAAGCCCTCATCATGTGACTCAAGGCTGTTAGGAAATGTCTCCAGCCAGGCCTTTGCAGGGGACACCATGAAGGCTAGAGACCAGGTGGGATGGGAAGGAAATAAGGGTTCAGCCCCTGCCTCAGAGCCCACAGCCAGGAGCCCTTCTCCTCTAGCCTCTGTTCTCCCTGGCAAAAGACTCAGGAATCTGAATGGCCCTGGCTGCCCAGCCTGGATCTTCACTACATTTACCCTGTTTCTTCAGCTACATTCCCTGCCCCATCCCTCCACCAAGGCCCTAGCTGTGTTCTCACCTTCATCCTCAGAGGTCCCCTGTTCGGCCAAGACAGAATCTTCAGGGGGTGCTGAGGGCTCAAGAGGAGTTGTGGAGATAGGAGTAGGGGGACTGAAGCCTGGCTCAGGGGGGAGCACGGTGATCTGGGTGCACTTGCCATAAAGGTCCACGACAGCCCAGACACGAGCAGGTAGGCCTGTAGCAGCCACACCACAATCCCGCCCATTCACCCAGAGCCGAAGCTCCCCAGCAGCTGTTTTCTCCACACCCACTCGGTCCCCTTCGCCAAGCTGGTCCAGGTCCTGTCCATATTCCTCCAGCACAGAGCGCCCATCCTTCAGGACTGAGCAGCCTGATACTACCCATGAGCCCCCCTTTAGTCCTGTGGCACTGCTTGGGAAGTCCAGCACACTGGGATCCAATGCAGTCACCCCAATCTCAATGGAGCCACTCCAGGAGTTGACCTATGTTGGGAATGGTGGACAGAAAGATTCAGGATGGGCCACCATTGGGGTCTCCCACTACTAGGAAACTACATTCCACATGCCCTAGATTCACTCTCCTCCCAAATTCCTTTTCTGTGAGCCAAGTAAATCACATATACACTTCTCCTTCCCTAAGTATTTCAGCTCATCCATCTTTCTGGCTCTACCTCAGTTTGTCCTTCAATGGTTTGTTCTTTCCTCAGTATCTCTCCCCTTTTCCTAACACACCTAACATCACCTCCATCTCCAAGAAATTGTGTCAAGAGGCCCATTCCCTAGCTATTCTACTGGGTAGGGCCCCGCGTCCCCTTCCTGGTTCTGGGTCTTTCGGAAACTCGAGCTCTCCCTGTCTCCTCCTTCGAATTGAACATTTCTGAATCATTTTCTTTTTGCCCATGGCCTCGTACCCTATGGTCTGTCGGTTCCCTTTCGGAACCCAGTGATGTGAAATTTCTAGCTGCCCTACTGCATTTACCTCTGGTTCCCTCCCACTACTCTCATTCCAATTCCGCGGGCCCAGCCCTGCACCTTGCGGTCGATGCGGACGGTGAAGACGCGCCCATCGCGCAAGGGTTCCCGGCTCAACACCAGCCCGTGGTTAAACTCCTGGCCTGGCTGCTGCCGCCGCGCTGTACGCCCACAGGCCGACAGGCTCACCAAACGCCCAGTGCGCGGGTGCAGCTCCCCAACGGTGCCGAGACCCCCGCTGGACCCCGGTCCTGGGCCGCTGCTGCCAGGGCCCCCACCCCCGCCCGGACCTGGCCCGGGGCCTCCCCCAGACCCCCCACTCCCACCCGACCCCGCCGCCATCGCCGCTGACACCGGGGCCGCGCGACAGCCGCGCTTGGCGGCACCGTGGCAACAGCAGAGGCCAGATACCCTGAGGGAATACGACCGGGGTGGGGGGCGGGGGGGGGAGCAGGGGCTAGATATGCTTTACGGCAGTGCGGGGCAATGAAGCATCCCGGGCTAGGGAACTAATGACTGCCACGAAGGGAACAGAAGGACCAGAAGGACGACCGGGTCGGGCAGGCTTGCTTTACGGCACAGACTGAAGGAGTGGCTCCGAAAAGGGAAGACTTGGGGGAGGGAGAGAGCTTTTGCGACAGAGGGAGGAACGCCTACCGCAGGCATCTTTACGACTGACGGATGCAAGCGCCGAAACAAGCTTTGCGACAGAGATACCGGCGACTCCGCCCCCACCGGGCGAAGCGACACATGGAAGTATTCGCTTTACGGCAAGGGCAGGCGTCTTTTCTTCGCGCTACAAGCTTTAAAAAGGTGTCAAGTGGAGTTTAGAAGACGCAGAGGAGAGCTTTGTAAATGAGCCTCTGTCCTCCACATCACAGAGGCCGGAAATATTGCAATACTTCCACTTTGATTCACACCTCTCCTAAGAGGTAGAAAGCCAATTTTCGAGAGGGAGGAAGCTTGCGGATAATTCAAATCAAGCCCATTTTAAACGACAATTCAACCAAACTCTTTAGACTTTAAAGCCACAAATGAGAGCCAGGCGTGATGGCGCACGCCTGTAACAGATTTGGGAGGCTGAGGCAGCGAGATCGCCCTGAGTTCGAAGCCAGCCTCGACTAAATAATGAGTTCAAGGCCAACCTGAACTACATAGCGAGACCTTGTCTCAAAAAAAAGCGCCACAAATGAAACCCAAAAATGCCAAAGGCAGTTTCAAGCTACGGCGTTGATGACCCCCAGAAGAGACCCCCAGAGCTAGTCCAACTTTTCTGTGGGGGTTCGACGATCGGAGATACGTGACGTCACAATCAAGGCCCCCCCCCCCGTCCCGGGCCAGGCCCTCTGGCAATGGTTGGCTAATTTGTACGACGGTGGTGCCGGAGAAGGGCGGGAACAAATCGCCAACACAAAGAAAGTCTTTGAGTGGGACTCTAAAGGAAGGGCGAGCCGCAAGGGCTCCCAGGCTAAGATTCCTGTATAGTCTTGACTACGCCCACCGCAGCACTGGGGAGTAGGAGGGCTGGGGACCCCCCCTGAGCCAGAGCGTCCCCAGCCGTCTACGGTAGGGGCGGGGTCCAGGGGCGGGGCTACGTGGAGCAGGGAGGAGGGGGCGGGATAGCAGAGTGGCCCCCGGGTGGGGCCATGGAGAAGCAGGAAAGGCCAGGAGCTGCTGCCGGCCTCCGCAGGGAATCCCCTGGAGGGACAGCGAAGCGAGTACCGGGAGGGATCGGAGGAACAGTAACAGACACGACGCTACCCTCCGGAGGAATCTTGTTTCACGGTTCGGGACCCCCCCTTGCACTCCAGGGACACGGTAATTCAAAGACCTGGTTCAAACCTGCCTTCCCAAGGGGCAGTGACACTTGGTTCTGGGCACAGTCAGCACCCTGGGGAGTTTGCAGCCTGCAGCCTTGGATCCGGCACATCCCCTGGTGGATTCAACACCCCTTACCCTGGAACCAGTCTAACCGCAGCGTCCAGCCCTGGGCCTGGGGAGCCTAGGGTATACAGTTCGGGGCGTAGTCCGGGCTCCGAGTCAACTTCCTTGCACCCCTACAACTCCTGTGAGGACCAGCCCCAGGGCATCTTGAAACACAACTGCAGCATCTTGCAGCAGAAATCCCCCGGTGCGGAGATGTAAGGGGTCCAGATTTGCTTACAGATTGGAGGGAGGAGTTAGGCACACAGGCGGAGCCATAAGGGAGGGGAAGAGTCTGAGAACTAGGGGTGAGAGTGAGGACAGTTGGGTGGAAAATACTATGTTCAATATTAGGTTCCAGGCCTTCGATAGAGCAGCAGGTGCTCACACAGTACCATGGTTACCGCTGGGTCTGACCTCATCCCTAGCTTCTATCAGATGAGTTTCTTAAATGACTGAAAGGATGAGGGAAGCCCCTGAGGAGGGGAATCACTAGGCATTTCCCACCTTTTCTGTTTCCTCTTCCCACCCCAGGAAAAAGTCTCAGCACTGGGATGAGATGAATATCCTGGCCACTCACCATCCTGCTGATAAGGACTATGGTTTTATGAAAGTGGACGAGCCTGGAACCCCTTATCACAGGTACCAAGCTTTTCAACCTAGACTCTGTTCTCTGTTCTAACAAGGCACCAGGCGAGGAGGCAGAGAAGCCTCATGCTCACGTCCTAGCACTGTTTCCTCCTCTGCAGACTGCAGGACAGTGATGAGGACCTGTCTGAGGGGTCCTCCCTCAAGGTGACCCCTGAAGTGTTGGCAGAGAGGTAAGAGTCCTTTGGGGTTTTGGATCTTTATTATATCCCACCTGTGAACCTTAGTCTGAGGCTGCTTTACTTTTTGGCCCCAAAATAGGAGGTACTACAATTCCTGTCAGGCCTGACGAAGACCAGTCTGGTGGGGTCAGCCAGGTTGGTCTCATCTACCACCTGCCCCCATTGTTGTTTTCTCCTTTCAATGCCCCCAAACTAGTCTCCCTCCTCTTCAGGTTTGCAACAATGGACAATTTCCTCCCCAAGGTCCTCCAGAACAGTGATAACGGAAGCTCAATGGCTACAGACAACTTTTCCAAGACATGTGAGATGCAGGGTGGGCATGAATGGGAAGGGGAGGCAGAATAAACCTTTGTCAAGTTTCTGGTGGGAAAACCAAGCTCTCATACTGGCCTACAGACTCCAATGATTTTTACAAGCACCGCGAAAGACACTACAATGAAAGAAAATTCCTCAGGGCTCAGAAAAACATGCCCATGTATGATGACAAGGAGAGCAACTGGGGCAGTGCCAGTATCAACAGTCGTGGTCAAGGTGTGATGATGGACCTAAAGCCCAGGCCTGTGGAGAGAGGGTCGCCAGGAGCACTAGCTGGAGCAGTCAAAGATGAGACTGCTTGGGTGACTGTGAGTGACGTCCTAGAAGCCAAAGGTTAGTAGCAATCGGGAGGAGAGCTCTCCCAGAACTCAAGGGAGTTGTAGTCCTGAGCCTATTCCAGAGCCCATAGTCTTCTTGGACTTTCTTTTCCTCACTTCTCCACCATAGTCTGTCTTCTTCAGTGGGTGTTGGCCTACAGCTCTGCTGCCTGACATGGCAGCAGCACTGGGAGGTGACTCCAGGGATAAAGGAGGTTGCTGGAGTGGGGTTCCCAGAGAAGACTGGTTCATGAAGAATACAAAGTCCAAGGGCAAGGGATTTAGCTCAGTGGTTTCGCCGCCTGCTGTGCAACCACAAGGACTTGAGTTCGATCCCTGGGACAAAAAAAAAAAAAAAATAGAAAGTCCAAGAGGAATACAGAGGTCATTGAAAGTTTTCTAAAATGGGGCGTGGATGGTTAAGAGAAGTAAATGAGGCTGGGCGTGGTGGCGCATGCCTCTAATACTAGTACTTGGGAGGCCAAAGCAGAAGGATCCCTATGAGTTTGATGGGCTACTTAGTGAGTTCAAAGCCAGCCTGAACTACATAGCAAGACCCTGTCTCAAGAAAACAAGAGAGAGGGCGGCGTGGGGGTAGATTTAGCTCAGTGGTTCCGCTGCCTGCCTTGCAAGCGCATGGACCCAAGTTCAATCCCCGGTACCAAAAAAAAAAAGAAAACAAGAGAGAGAGAGAGACAGAGACAGAGAGACAGAGAGTAAATGAGATGAAAAATCAAGATGAGCCCATCATACACACCTGAAGGCCTGGACACACCAGGTGGCCACAGACAGCTTGCTTTGGATGATTCCTCAGATTCTTCTACCTGCAGAAATCAGTTCCTCCCAGCATCAGCCCCCATCCTTTTGGAGAAGGAGATTGACCAGCAATGCAAGGAATATTACAACAAAGGAATATACCTGAGATCCTGCTCCCACCCAGAACTTGAAGAGGACACACAAGATAAGCAGCAGAACAGTGAGAGCCAGGGCAGGCAGTCTAGGGGGTGGGAGGGCTGAGAAACAACACTGGCTGGGTGCCACAACCTTCATCCCAGTGTACTTCCAGGTTCCACAGGCTTGGTCTAGCTCATTGAGAATCCCATAAACACTGAGGTTCATCTATTAGACCACATGGGAGGCCCTTATATGGATCACAAGACCACTGAGGCTTCCCTGACTGTGACTGTGACACCATTACAACCCAGTTAAGGTATCAGGCCATCATCTCCATAGGCCTAGCTTTTGGCAAGCTCCCATCTCTCTGCCTTCCAATTCTGTTAGGCCAGTACACCAGTAACAGGTAGTAAGAGAGATCTGAAACATCCTCAAGTTCAGGGCCCATATTGTTGAGGAGAGCAACCAGGGAGGCTCTGAAGGGGTTGGCACACCCTCTAGCTTGGCATCACTCAAGCCTCCATGCATTCTTCTTGACTCCTTTCTGCCACCTCATCCAACTCTGGAAGCTACCATGTCCTCCAGTGACAGTGATTCTCAAGTGGTATCCAGCTGGTATCAATGGCTGGAGGCCAAGAGGCTGAGCTGCCATAGCCCAGGGAACTCAGAGAGGGAACATGGAAGCAACCAGAACCCATCAAACTGGAACATGCACGGATGTGAGCCTGGGAAGAGGTAAGGGGTGCCTGCAGGGAGCAGAGGGGCTGGGGTCACATGCAAGAAAGCCACTAACCCAACCTCTTCTCTAGATGAAACCCGAAGCACCAATGGACTCAGGAAGAGGAAACCAGACAATGGAAACCATAGCCGGCTAGGGGTGGGATAAAGGCAACCTTCCCCTGCCCTTACAACCTTAGGAATGGACAATAAAGATAAGAATAGCAGGAATCTGGTCACTGTGAATTGGTTGTCCAGACTAGTCCTGCTGGGTCAGGGTTAAGGAGGGGTGGGGGGAATGTTTACACACAGGAAACCCAGAAAGCAGTCCAAAGAGAAGGAAGCTGAGAGCAGCTCAGGAACTAGTTTCAATAAAAACCTAGGATTGAGATGATCCAAGCTGCAGCAGGATGACAATGACAATGACTGACACAATTAATTTAGTTATCATAAATTTACCCAGTAGCATTTTCTTTTTTTTTTCCCTTTGGTACCAGGGGTCAAACTTGGGACCTTGTGCTTGCAAGGCAGGCTGTGGCACCACCGAGCTAAATCCCAGCCCTCTTTTTTTTTGAGACAGGGTCTTCCTATGTTATTCAGGCTGGCCTTGAACACACTATGTAGCCCAGACTGGCCTCGAACTTGCTATGATCCTCTTGCCTCTGCCTTCCCAGTTCTGGGGTCACAGGTGTGCGCCACCATGCCCAGAATCTTTAATTCTTATAACAACCCTAGAGAGAGGGATTTCCATCTCCATCTTCCAGAGGAGGAAACTGAGGAACCAGAGAACTTGCTGAGGGTCACAGAACTGTTAAGTGACAGAGCTAGGATTTGAACCTAGATCATCAAGCTCCAAAACTCAATGACAAAAGGAGAAAGCAAAGAAAGACCAGGAGGGAGGTGACAGCAGATAGTCTCCGGGGGCGGGGCTGTGGCTTGTCTGATCTCAGGCCCCTCTCCGGCACCCAGGCCCCACCCCTACCCCTCCCAGCACTGCCTGGAACTGTAGGGCGAGAGCTCCTCCTAGGACACCCCTTTTTCTTGGGGAAAGGATTGCACCCCCTCAGGTCCTACCCAGCAGAAGACTTTCTCCTTTCTCATCCACGGCCCCTCCTGGGCAGGGAGTGCCTTGATCACACTGCCACCTGCCTGGCCTCCAGGGCTCTGGGCCCCACAGCAATCAAGCAGAAATGACCGTCAAGCTGGATTTCGAAGAGTGTCTCAAGGATTCACCCCGCTTTCGGTAAGTGTGCACAGGTCTAGGGGGGATAAGAAGGAAAAGGTCCAACATTTCTTAATGTATAACACAGGCATAGCTCTTCCCGGGCCAGGCCTCCTTCCAGGGAATAGGCCTCCAAGGGACAAGATGGATCTGGTGGGCCAAAATGGTATCTCTGCTATCAAACTGGGGTCTTCCTATCCTCTCTACTCCATCCAACTTCTGACTTCTCTAACCCCTCAAAATGGGCTATGCCTCCTCCCTCCCTGGGCCCCCTGCCCCTCCCCCAGCACCTGCTCTGGGGCGGTTAGCAACTTCCTGCCATTACCACATCCACCCTCCTCCTACTCTTCCTGCTCCAGCCTGGGCCGTAGTAAGTAGCTTAGACTGCGCAGTGTGAGTGAGCATGAGCGGGTAGGTGGGTGCCCCATCTCACCCCAGCAGTTTTCTCTGTACCCACTGTCCCACAACCCCAACTCTGACCCTGATGAGGCAGGTAGGCTTGGTGGACCCAAGCTCTGTTCCCATGACCTTTCCCTCCTTTCCCAGAGCCTCTATTGAGTTGGTGGAAGCTGAAGTGTCAGAATTGGAGACTCGTCTGGAAAAGGTGACCCTGACATGGAGAGTTGAGCCAGGAGCAGATTAGGAAAAGGGTCATCCCAGGGAGAAAGTTGGAGACTGAGAATGAGTTCCAGGGTTACTGAATACTAACTGTATATGGTAACTATTTGAGGCCTATGAAGAAGCAAAAATGGTGGTTCTGTGCACTCAAGGATCTTAGGATCTTGGAAAACAAGACTTGTGGACTTACTACTCTGCTGAGTTGGTCATGGGTATTCACAGAGAACAAGACTATTTCTGCCCCACAGAGCCCACAAACTGGATGTGGAAGTCAAACCAGTGACACATATGCTACGATCTGTCCTGACCATGCTTGCTAAAACTGCACATAACATACACACACAGACACACACACGCCCTTTCCTTTTACTCTGCTTTATTTTTCTCTATGGCATTCACCTCTATCTGACACGATATTTACTTGCTGTTAGCTTGCTTGCTTGCTTGCTTTTCTTTCTTTTTTCCTTTCTCTTTCCAGTACTGGGTATTCACATTGAGCTAGGTCCTCGGCCCTTTTCATTTATGTATCTGTTTGTTTGTTTGTTTATTTATATATTTCGGACTGGGGATCGAACTCGGGTCCTTGGGCTTGTGCAGCAGGCGGCGAAACCACTGAGCTAAATCCCCGGCCTGTTTGTTTATTTATTGAGACAGGGTCTTGCTATATATGTACTTCAGGCTGGCCTTGAACTCACAATGATCCTCCTGCTTCAGCCTCCCAGGGTGCTGGGATTATAAGCATGTGCCACCAAACCTGGCCTATTTTTTATTTTGAGAGTCAGTCCCATTAAATCTCTGAGTTGCCCAGGTTGGGCATGAACTTGCAATCTTCTTCCCTTAGCCTCCCAGAGTGGTGGGATAAGAGGTGTGTGCCACCATGCCAAGCTTTTTCTGTTAGTTTTCTATTGCTATTTAACAAATTACAGTGGACCCTTGACTTACAAACTGAATTCATTTGTGAGGGTTGGTTATAACTCAAGTTGGTCAGTTGAAGGCTGAGGCTCCTCTACACAGCCTTCAAAGTCTCTCTCCTGTATACAGGCAGATCTCAGCATCCTTGGAGAGACATTGGCCCAGGATTTCTCAATTAACCCCATACAGGAAACGGTGTTGTAATGTTCTTCCAGAACTCTTTAAGGGTTAAACCTGTATCTGAGACCATCTGGAAGCACAAGTGGCTGGCATTCGGGTCATAACTCAAGACTTTGATTATAAGTTAAAACTAAAATTCCAGTCATAACCCAAGTTGTTCATATGTCAGGCCAGTCATAACTCCAGGATCCACTGAATCACAAACTTAGTGGCTTGAAACGATATGCATTTGTTATAGCTTCGGTGAGTCAGGGTTCCAGGCAAGACTTAGCTGCTCCTCTGCTCACAGTCTCCTAGACTGCAGCCAAGGTCTTGGCTGAGATTGTAGTCTCATCTGAGGCTTGGAATTTTCATCTGAGGTCATGTGATTGTTTAAAGAATTCGGCTCCTTGATGTTGTGGAACTGAGACCCTCATCTCCTAGGGGCCACCCATACTTCCCCACCATGTGGCTCTCTCTATCGGCATGTAACATCATAGCAGCTTACTGCTGCTTCTTGCCTTCTCTTTCAAGGCCAAGAGGAAAGTCTTGGGTGTGCTAGTGTGTATGTGATCATGTATGTTATGATTACATACATCATAAAGCAATCATAGGAATGCCATTTATCATTTGTGCTTCACAGTTGGGAGTACCATTACATTTCCTTTGCCATATTCTGTTGGTTTGAAGCAAGTCATATCATGGCCTTGCTCACACTCAAGGGTAGGGATTATACAAGGATGCATAAAAAATTGAGGGCCATCTTAGTGTGTGCCCATCATACTTGCCTGTTTCTTGTCTGTTTCCCCCCACTAGAATGGAAGTTCCATGAGAGGCTTTATATTTTATTTTTGCACAACCCCCAGTCCCTGTACTACAGCCTGAAAGCTAGTAGTTGACCAATTAATGTATTTTCCCTTTCTTTCCTTCCTTCTTCCCTCTCTCCCTCCCTCCCTTTCTTCTTTCTTTCTTTTTCTCTCTTCCTTTTCTTTTCTTTCTTTCTTTGACACAAGATTTTGCTGCTTTGCCCAGCTTCTGGGCTCAAGCGGTTCTCCTGCCTTAGCCTCCCAAGGAGATGGGTGTACAGGCAACATGCCATTGCATGCATTTATTTATGTAATTATTTATTTGCAGTGCTGGGGCTTGAACCCAGGACTTTCACATGCTAGGCAAGAGATTATCACTTTGACTTACACCCCCAGCTGATCATTTATATTTTAATTTTTTTTTTTGAGACAGGGCCATGATATGTAGTTCAGGCTAACATCGAACTCACTATGTAGCCCAGGCTGGCTTGAACTCCTGACAACCTTCTTGGCTTAGCCTCCCAACTGCTGGGATGATAGGTACGGTTCACCAGACCTTTTTATCTTGGCTTAATTATAGGTTCACAGGAATAGGAAGGAGAGGGCCCGGGTACCCATTATCCAGCTTCTCTTAGTAGTGACATCTGACATAACTCCACTACATTATCAAAACTAAAAAGATATCTTGGCAAAGTACAATTAATAAACTCTGCAGACCTCACTCAGATTTTATATCTGTATGTATCTTTTAGGGGTGTGTGTCTTTGTGTATAATTCTATGGCACTTGGTCCCACACATAACCATCCCCACATTAAGGTATAAAACTTCTGTTGCCACTTTTGTGTCATTTCTTTATAGACATACCCTCTTTATTCCCTTTTCTAATCCATGAAAACACATGATTTGTTCTCTATCTCTATACTTTTATTATTTCTAGAATGTTATATAATAAGCCAGATATAGCCCCATGTGCCCCAGCTACTCAGGAGACTGAGGCAGGAGGACTGCTTGAGCCCAGGAAGTCTAGCCTGGGCAGCATAATGAGACCCTGTCTCTAAAAAAAAGAAAGGTACAGTGGCACATATCTGTAATCCTAGCTACTCAGGAGGCTGAGACAGGAAGATATTAAGTTCCTTGCCTGCCTAGATAATTTAACAAGCTCTCTCAAAATAAAAAATAAAGGGGCCGGGGATTTAGCTCAGTGGTTCCTCTGCCTGCCTCACAAGCGCAAGGTCCTGAGTTTGATCCCTGGCACCAAAAAATAAAATAAAAAATAAAAAAGGTTAGTCTGAGGATGTAGCTGCAAATACCCACCACTACCAAAAAAAAAAAAAAGCGGATGTTTTATTGTATGACCTTTTAAAATATTTTTAAAATTTAGAATAATGCCCTTAAAGTTTATCCAAGTTGTTGCACATATCAGTACTTGGTTTCGTTTTGTTTTTTTGCTGAGTACTTCTATACTGTATGGACGTATTAGTTTGTCACTATTTCAGTCTTATGAACGGACTCA